GGATATTTCTATCTCTAGCCACTCACTTACTTAGCCATGTATGATTCATCACCACTCAGCAAAGTTGTTCATTTTTGAATGAGAACCTTCGGTCTTATAATATATATACACAAATGACTTTGAGATAAACTTATCACTGTTGTATTTCTTCACCCTACAACTTTCTTACAACAATCCTTACTGGAAGACTTATTCATGGTGATGAATTGAATGCATGTTGATGTTAGATGGTCGGAGGCAATCGGCAGGAAACCTTGGACCTTAGTTTTAAATCTTAGAAGGGATATGAGTTCCTTCACGGTTGTAGAAATGCCTTGTTGACGAGTTCCAACTAGCACGAAACCTAGGTCCAAAGCTTCCTGCCGATTGCCTCAACAATTCAAAGTGCACCGTGATGGCGAGCTACCCAAAAATGATGGCCACGTTGAGAACTTGACTGGTGGATATCAGTTTGTACCAAAGAAAGGACTAGACACATCACACTAGTTACTAGTGTCCAATGAAAATGTATATGCTGATACTGTATTACAACTGGTTTTATTGAATATTACAGGTCGTACGCAGCTGACGAGAACAGACAAAATAGAATGAATCCATATTATTCTGCACCAATGTCCTTTCACATTTATGAAGGGGGGTTCTTATTTGATGATGTAATTGTCTACACTTCTGACAGCTTATTTTAACTTACTTTTTTGTTTGGGGAACTAATTAATTTGAGAATTTGGATATGGCAATATTTAGTTTGTGTATGTAAGGTTATTGCAAAGAAGCAAAATACATGTTCTGTATACTAATGAAGCCCATAAGCTGACTGTATAATCCTTTTCATTTAGCCATTCTTCAAACTAACTGTAATGACATTTCCCACTTGTTTTTACTGCCTGTTCAAATCCCTCAGTCATCGAAATCTTCCATCCATCAAAATGGGGTGTACTTACTCCCTTTCACATTGTTTCAAGCATCTAATTATCCCAGTGAGTCACAATCCATACCACCACAGACTTTCACACAGCGTTCTACCTACCACTAGGACGTTTTCGAAGGAAATGCAGGAGCAGCATTGTGGAGTAGTTATATATGTCCAAACTAAGTCCACTTTTAACAGTTTGAAAAAATTTGGGCATTGGGGCTTTTTTGTATTTCTCAATGAATGAAAAACAAAGCGCTATTGTGAAGTAGTATTGGAACATGCATCGGATGGAACGATATTGCTTCAGATGACGAATTATTGGGTATTATATTATAATATTTCTATATATGTAGGATTCATCTGTTGATTAATCTCTCATCTGGTCTATTTTCTGCCACGCTACTGTGTGAAAGAGTTTGAATATGTAACGTTGACGCATCCCCATTTAGGTCTTCTGGGAGGTTTCCTAAACTGGCTGCTACAACAAATAATATCAGGGAATACAAATGGTCCAGGAAATAGATGTCTAAAATCACCTTTAGGCGCGGCGCATCATAGAGGTGTGTCAGAAGTTTGATTTCATTAATGCCTTCAAACTTATATTCTTTGAAGTCTTGGTCATTAAGGTCTCAAACCTGTCTTATGTTTTATCACTTTGAACTTGATTCTATAATCCATATTGGGACCAAGTTTCAGTTAATTCAGTGGTGTTTTCACACTCTTCCTTCTGTTTTCCTATCTCGCATTCTTATGTCACCTTCCTAAATCTTATTTGTGACCTTGATCTGTACACATTTTGACCTATATTCTAATAAATGATCCTTTTTTGCCTCGAATATGAATGCGCATCACAAGTATATGTATCACCAGAATGTCCGAAATGTGTTGCATGAATACACTAGACGTTTTAGATGAACTACGTCTTCTTATTCTGTTTGTTTGTCGAAATTCACAAGGGGAACTAATTGCTTTAAATTTCTGTACTGTGTCTCAATACACTTTCAAGAATAAAGCTACTGTTATTGCTGTTATTATTACATCGTTGGTCTGAATTCTCTGAATAAATTATGTAATTTATCTTTCTATTCTGTTTGGATTTTTGTGAATGCAATGAAGTAATTCTGACTACCGACAACCGTAATTCAAATTTCATCTTCATTTAAATTTGGTACATTTCCTAACAAATCATTTTAAGGTACTTTATTAGCCTATAGTTATTAAAATTTTTAACCTTTTTGTTAATGGCATGTTTTGAAGATATTTCTGTCCAGTTTATCTCGATTTATTAATGGTATATTGGAGTGCATCTCGTATGACTACGCCACAGTGGCTTGTAGGGAACACACAATATTTGCAGCCACATGATAATTATTAAAGCTTGTGACATTAAACGAAAAAAGTCAATTTTTAGGTAGATTTCACCCCGAACCGATATAACTCCCAAATCTTTTAAAAACCGGAGAACACTTGATTAACTGTTTCACCCCAGCATGAAAATTTCCACCACTCACAAATGACCATAATAGGGAATAAACTCAGTGACGTGAAGTCTAACAGTATTCACATTCAACCATTAATAACTATCTTCGCATTCAAAATGATTTACCTGAGTGGTGAATTTGAGAAAATCCAGGCTTCAGCGAACTGTCAGTCGTTTTAGATAGGTTTATTTGACATAATATACAATGATACGGTATTGATTAACTGGATGATATTTTGAGCACAGCTTATTCCTCATAATCGTACAATTGCATTTACACGAATTCCTAGGTTTCTCTATGTGGTTTTTTTAATCCTCTTGCTTTATTGTTACAGTTTCCTATAGATCGGAGATACAAATTAGTTTTAAGCGTTTATTTCCTTATTTTTTACCTCAGACAACATGAAGCACAGTATAAATTGGACATTTGAAACCTATTCATTGACAATCTTACTCCACATAGCTACATTTTTGCCATAGAAGCGTATACTGAAATCTTAGATATACTTTAGAAATTGTTGAATTTAGAAGTGGCGTGGAATCATGCTCTTGTCCATGCCAAGTAAAATACTAAGTCGCGCCATCCTGGGGAGAATAAAAGGTACACTGGGTGCAGGACTCCTGCCAGAACAAGATTAAATCGGGAAAGACGAATCATGTGCTGATCAAATTGCAGCTCTACCAATCATGATCACACACAGCATAGAATGGCAGTAAAAACTCTCTCAACCTCAATTTCATCGACTTTGAAAAGGCCTTCGACACCGTTGACACTGCCATGTGTCATATGATCCACAACGGAAAACTCAGAGAGGCGTTCAAAGTGAGTAAGAAAAGAGTAAGAAAAGGTGGCTGACTGCCTATTATCACTCACGATGACATTCTTAATTTTGGTGGACTGGATTATGCCTCAGACTGTGCAGACGAAGTGAGGAGACAGGAATACTCTAGACCACTGATAAGAAGACTCCAGAGTATTCGGATTTCGCGCATGGATGATATATGTTTAATGTCACACAAACTCAAAGACTTACAGGTAGGCGAAAACCAACAAACTCGCTGGCTGAAGAAGCAGCCAGTGAACACAAGACTTCAGGTAACATAGAGAATATAGAGACGGAGATGATGAAGATAACCAACCAACAGCAATAGCGACAACAAACAGCACCAATCAATATCAACGGGAGAAACTTGAAAGAGGTCGCTTCCTTCACCCATCTAGGCAGCAACATTTCAACTACAAATATGCCTCATAGATGAAAATCTCAAAACCATCCAGAGTCGGAAAGGCAAGATAGACCTTCAATGCTCTGAAATCAGTGTGGAAATCTTCTGCAGTCAGCTGCAACAACGAAATTCGTATATTCCACAGGTGTCAAAACATTTTTTCTATATGGGTCAGAAAATTTGCTAGGGCGTCACGGAAAGCATTTCCAACAGGCCAACACAGACATTAATCAGAAGATGCATTCACTGGTTCCATACTGAAAATAGGATGGCCTGTCAGAAGGAATTAGCAACAAAGAACTCTGGGAATGGGACAACCAACAACTTAGCGCCCAACATATACCTCGAAGAAAACGGAGATGGACTGGGAACACACTGAGGAGATCGTGCACCAAGCCTTCGAGTGGAACCAAAATGGGAAACGACATGGCGCGTCCAAGGATAACATGAAGGAGATCGTACGAGGAGGGCGTGAGATACGATAGGTAATTGTGAGGCCAACTAATGAGGTTTACAGAGAATAAGACAAATTAAGGAGGTGCTGCTGAAAGCCCCTACCTTTCACTCGGAACTCAAAGGAACGACAATGAAACAATAGTAGTAATCTCTGAGGAAAACAGAACAGTAAGACAAACAATGACAATGAAATCACATTTTTATTCATTAAGGAATCAGCGGTGGCCTGCCTTATTCACTGAGCTACCAGAAGTTTCGTCCACCAAAATGCTTAGACTTGACTGCATTTCTTATTATTTTTTTCAATCGTACAATTATATCATATGACCGCTACATGAACTTGCGCGCCTATATAATTAGCTTCCAACTAAACGCTATGCAATTCTTGAAAGAAATGAAGGAAAAAATTACAGAATTGGTTCTCTTCTCATATGCAACAACGCTACGTCACATGATACATATACTTCAGATTATTACTTTACAAATAAATCCTGTAAGAAGAGGGAATATTTTGGAAATAAATACGCTGAAAATTTCTGAAATATATATGTCCACATATTTTCTGAAATAAAGCTTTATTATTACTATCATATTATAGATGAAACATATTAATTGGAAGTTGAATAAAGTGCACATTTAATAAATGCATTAAAGTCAACAACTATCTGTATGTTGCTGCTAAAATGTTTTAAAAAAGTAGTATACAAAACGAGAAGCATCTTTTCTGAATAAAAACAAAACAAATGGGAAGGTTAACAAATATTTTAAAGGTATTTGTGAGTGCTTACTGATTTATATATATAGATGACATTTCTAAACAAAATATCAGAAATAAAATTAATCCCTCAGGAAATATATATAGAAATCAGTGAATATAATAGTGTTTGAGTCATCTTACAATTATCTGTATTATTATTATTATTATTACACATCTGAGCATAAATGATGCGGCCAGTTACTGATTTCGTAAACTTTATGATTATTCATCTTTGTATCATTATTTGTTGAGGATGTTGATTGTACTTTTGAATTTGATTGCAAAGAATCTGTGTTGTTGTATTGACAACTTACAGGAGTGTTATTCTGTGTTGATAAATGATTTGAAAACTTGGACTCACGTAAGTTGTATGTGATGAAAATACAATTAGCTAAAGATAATAAGCCATTAGCGCTGTTTGGATTCACAATTGATTCGGTTGAAAATAAATATTCCTATTAACAAAAAAAAAGTACAAAAGAGATTAAAAAACCCCTAGAATAATTGTTTTGTTTTATTCTTTTTTTTCGAGTACAGAAAACTGAAAACATAAATTATATGACTGAATTTGGATTATTTGATAATTTTATTTCCTATAGTCTTACTCCATATAAATTGAATGGATGGGCGTCATAATTTACACTTAGACTAAATTTGTCAGCGGTAGGTAGTAGTGAAGTTGAACAGACACAAAGAGACCTAAGATTGAAACTCTGGTAGACAGAACTTTGAAATACACAGCCTGAATGAGATGTAGACATACAATGTAAAATAAACCTCTAGTAGAAGATAATACAAAGCTAAATAGAGCTGACAGTTTGGTTTCTGTGAAATAAAAAGATAGTGGAGGCAAGTTACTGAGTCGACTGAATAGATTGAACTTTGTATTTCGAGGATTCCAAATACCGGTGTACATTTTAGTTTAGGACCCGTTTTTCTAACATAATATCCAAGATAGTATGTTATATAGTGATACGAAGAGGAAATTAAGTGAAGTCCAGGAATGGCATACTAAGGCATCAATAAATGAAGTCACCCACTGTTTGTCCATGGATGGAGTTCTCAGGATGGCGAGAATCTAGGGTGATAGGTGACTCTTTGTAACATGATTAAGAATAAATCATATTGTTGTAAATGAATCCACATCATTTGTAACTCTGAAGAGTATCCTTGGAAGGTTCTACGTTCGACTTTGGTGGGTACTTGTTGTGAAGAAGTAGCAAACTAGAACGAAACATATGTCTAGTACTCCCTGCTGACTTCTCAACGGTCCCATGATCAAACCTTTAGCCAACTAAATTCTGCAAGCCAACACTTGGTATTTAATCTGACGCTCACTAGAGACCTCTTCTACACCGGAAGTTGCTTGGCGTTCTAGTGAGAATTCGTGACCAGCTGGGTCCCCCAAGTTAGGTAAGTGAAAACTAACTTGCCTGTGAAATTGCTTGGCAGTTGGTCGCTTTCTCATATATATATATATATATATATATATATATATATCGCGAAATGGCAGATGGATCGGATTTGCAAACTCGTTTTGCAACCGGGAGGTCTTGGGTTCAAACCCTTGTGGGTGGTTTTCCAAAGGTGCTCTAATTGTTGTCGGCTCTTGACCAAGCCTGTAAGTTTTCAATTCATTATTCATTACACCTCACTATCACCTAATCTAGCATCGCTACGTTTATGTTTGCAGCTTTTATATGGGCTTCTGCATGCTAAGGCTGTTTGAATGGATTCACTAATCACTCAGTCATGTACTTCTGAACAACACACTGAACTATGCATTGTTGCTTTCCATCTTCTCAGAAAGATCTTCCATTTCCTGCCATTTCTTAAATTATGAATAACTCGATTGTAATGATCAATACACAAGAATTTGTAGCCTCTGTACATCTTCTCTAACTGAACATTAACATCAGTTTCATATTTATATCAACTTCATTGTATGCATATGAATTCTAGGCATTTAGGCGTTCGCTAGAATCTAATCAGTATATGTTCCTAGAACTCCTTCACACAGTACCAGGCTGTAAGCCTCACCCTATGGTCTGAGACCTAATGAAACTGTCCAGTTGCTAAGGATGAAGTATATGGGGAGGAGCTCGAACCTTGTAGCCATCAGCTGATTGTCAAGTGCTTAAGCCACTGAGTCATATATATTCATCGCTTCTGGACTCTGTGAATTAAGATCGTGTGTAGTATCTTTTTTTGCAGTGTCATTTCTGCAGTGGACTTCAAAAAGAAATCAATGAAATAAACCGTAGTTTCTTCCTATAGACAGTTGGCGTCATCTTGCTCAACCCAGCTTACCTGTCAGCCCCTTACTGCAAGATGAGATAATACACATTTTAGTTGTTTTTTTATAGGTGATAAAGTATTTTCAGTATACTCATATCACTACTGTTCACCGAATGTCGGTTAATACAGTCACACAGAATTTGTAAACCATTATGCCGTTTAAATAAAACGCAAAATAAAGTATGATTGTTAGAAAAAAACTGTGGGTAGATTCAAGTATGTACATTTGTTTAAAATACAAGCGAGTGGCTAACAGAAAACTGATTTCAAAACATAGTTTGAAAAAAATTTCAAACCCTATCACCTGTAGACTTCATTTTAGGATTGTTAAACTATAAAGTCTATTAACTTGGGAATGTAAAACCTGACACAAGACAGAATTCACATTGAAATACTAATCCCCCTACAAGGGAATCGATATGGATGCAGAAGAATTTTGTTTTTTGTAATTTTATTCTACATGTAATACTACAAACCTTCTCAAAGGTGTATCACATGGCTGTGAGAAATAACTATTAAAAATGCCGTTTTTAGACGTTTGAATGATGGCACTCTCCTCAACAGTGAAAGCATCTGATCTATAAATCCACTATGCGAATCAGCTGTTAAGTCTCATAAAGTAAGTCTATAATGATCATTACCGATTTGAAAAATCAATATTCTAAGCTTTTCTTTTACTTATTCAACTTAAAAATTTCAAATATTCTTTCTCTGCTTCAGGTTCAATTTTCAAATACACATCAGTCTGAGGAGCTCATTTAAAATTATCACAGTATTTTCAGAAGATTAAAACGAAAAAATTTCTGAACCGTTCTCTGTGTTAGTCGCAAATTCCTTAGTGCAATTATTGTGATGTTATTGAAAAATTAGAAGAGTTAGTCGAAGTATTTGGCTGAAAAGTTTGCTGCTTGCACTGAGAAACACTAGAGGAAAGATCTTGCTTTTGATTTTATAAAAGTGCTGTTTCACCCTCAAATAATTTTTCATACAGCCGCTTCCTTTTATTAGTTTGAATAAAGAAAGAACGAACCTATTCGCAGGATAATAAAAGCTCGTTTTATTTCGTAGATTCTCCTCAACTGCGTACATCCTAAATAAATCAACCATAGGTTTCAAAACTTCTGAACATACTTTTTACAAGGATTTTAAGTTATAGATAGAAAGAAAGCATTAGCAACATAATTTCAAAGATGATGTAAGTAGACAATTATTTAGTGTTAAAAGAGTGACTATTTATATGGTAATTAGACCTGGGAAGGAGTAGACTTCAGATTTCTCTTGGAAACAAGGATGGAATAGCGATAAAATACAGGATCGAACAAATTGGTGAATATACACATATAATGGTGGGTGAATAGTGAAGTAAAATTATAAGGGAGATAAAAAAAAATTTATTTAGTAGATCTGAAACCTTAATAGTGAGTTCAAGTCAGTGAGTGAAAATCAAAATCAACTTTGAGCGGAATGTTACGCAACAGAACAGAACACAGAAACACACGAACAAAGCAATTCCGGTTACCAGGGTGGTGAGAGATTAGTCACACTTTCTCTCTGCATGCACAGGGTTGGGTCAAAGTCTTTTGATTGCAATGGCTTCTGGGAACCTTAGTAAACATGGTTTCCTTTGTACACTGATTATTTTGAAAGCCTGACTGATTCTCATTGTATATCTCGTGTCAATTAGGTGTTTGGTGATCGCGCTTATGTTGCCTTGAAAATAGAGACTTTTAGGGATATGCTCAGAGAATCTAGAAGAAGCTCTCCTCTCAGTCCTTCCTATGTACTTGCTGCCTCAAGTGCAGGTGAATCAGTAAATGTAGTTAGAGTTGATATGAGCAGGATACTTATCTACTTTTGACTGGGTTAACGGACATACTGTTTTGTAAAGTGGAATGAGTCTAGCGACAGGAAATGTCTTTTTAATCCACATTTAGTTCTGTTTGCCGTTCTTGTGGATACTTCTTCCCCTTTGTTTGCTAGACAGATAAAAACTGGCTTCTTTTTAGTTATATCGGGCTTTGGTCTAGGTGGTTTTTCCTTCCCATATTCGCATATGAACTTCCGAGGGTATCCACTTTCGAAAAGTTGCTTTTCAATGACTGTCAGTTCCTCTTCGACCTTATCTTCTGAACACAACGTTCCAGCTCTGATGAGGAGCGTTTTCCCCAAGCTGCGTTTGTAGCCGATCGGGAAGAAACTGTGATAATCCAAGTATTGGCCAGTCCAAGTTTCTTTCCTGTAGATGGATTTTTCAATTATCTCATCATTTATTCTTTTGATGTGGAGATCTAGGACGTGGAACTGATTGTTACGTTCATGGTCCATTGCGAATGCTATGTGAGGGTGAGTCGCACTGAGGTTTTCAAACATGGTGGATGCGTGACGCATATTGTTGCAAACCACAGACATGTCATCAACATACTTGCAGTAATAGGTGGTCCTCTCTATTTCCTGCTTGATTCGTGCCTGTTCAGCAAGAGCCGTGAATATCTTTGCAAGAAGAGGACCTTAAGGTGAACCCATAGTCACCCCGTCGATTTGCCGGTACAGCTGGTTATTAAATCGAAACTGGACGTTCTTTGTGGAAAAAAAAGTAGAAATGTTTGTAGCTCCTTTTCAGGAAGAGGAAGTAGTTCGGATTGCTGCCATATGATTCCCATTGTCTCTTCAATGGGTATGTTAGTAAACAGCGAACAAACATCGTATGATACGAGAAGTTTGCCTGAAATGTTCAGTTGGTCTGATTCTGGTAAGAATTGGAAGGAACCCTTGATACTGTGGACTGCCAACTGTGCCAACCATCAAGCCAGTTTATGGCATGGTGATTTCACCATTGAAATTATGGGTTTCAATGGCACATCAGGTTTATGGACTTTAGGTTGACCATACATGAACGGTAGGGGTGATTTTGATAATTTTCTTGACATGCTAAGTGTCAAAACTGTTCTGAAAAATCATAACGCGTATGAGCTGGATATCACAATAATTTGTTTATTAGATATGTCACACAGTGAAACGGTATCATTTCCTGGAGTTGGCATAGTGTCATCAATATCCCTGATAGTGGCAGAAATTTCTGTAGACTTAGTGGCTGAAGCATTCAACTCCACCTCCGAAGCTTGGTGAAGGCATACAGATGAAATATTAACAGTACTTAAAAACACAAGCTGCAAATAGATTTTTAAACGTATAAACTCAGACGTGTAGACATTTCGATTCACTTATGTACTGAAAAGTTATGAAGGGCAGCTTCCAGTGTTAGATTATATCATAAAAATGGAGGATGGGAAGTGTTCACAGAAAACGCACACATTGAAACCGATATTTATCCAGTTAAGAATACTGTTTCCCAGTGTGACATATCCAATAGACAAATTAATATGGAATTACATACTGACACAGTGACCAAGTGTTACACATATTATCATGCCCTGGATATTTATAAGTATATCTACCATGGTCACTTTCAGTTAACGTGGTTTCAGCAGTTGTTTAATTGACCTTACTTCTGATTTTCTGAATACATCACATGGGTTATTTCATTTGACGTCACTGGGTGTCTGTTTCATTCCCAGCTTTTACAACAAATATACTGACGGCGTATTTCTAATTCCATTATAAAAGCTACTTGGTTTAGCATGCTTATTTCAATTAATAGTAGTAAAGTTAAATTTCAGTAATTTTTGTTAACTCAACACAATACTGTGCAATTTACAGCACTACCAATATCGTAAGTATGTTTAAATTTATTAGTGAGTGAATCTTGGTATTACTTGACCTAAATGAAATGTATCTTGTACATAAAGTTGAGACTGGATTTGTTGCTTGATTTCATCATCAGCAGACATTTGTGGGCAGTCATGACCAGTAGGTCGGGTGTGAGAACAAATACTCGCCGAAGACATTGGCTGGTGGTCGAGCTATGTCATGAATTGGAAGAAGTTAGAATTCATGGGTTGGCTACGGGATCGGGTCCCAGTGGCTTAATAGTCTACGAGCTCGCCTTGTAACCTCAAGGTCCTGGGTTCGAACCCCGGTGGATGCGTACTGATGAAGAGTCCCAAACTAGGACGAAACAGATGTCCAATACTCTCAGATTTTCCAATGGTTCTCTAACCAATGTAAGCTCATGATGAAATCCTGTAACCAAACAACCAAATCCCTACAAACCAATACTTGAAACTGGATTTATTTAATTTCCTTCGTCTCTGCTGCATGTGCTACATGAATTACTGTCAAACGTGGAAGATATGATGGAATTATCTAAAACTTTGTTCTGTATTGGGCTTCTTTATATCTCTACTTTCGTAATAGCTTGTCTTAATTCTAAAATTTGTCAGTAACCTAGAATGCGATGCAGGGAGATCAAGGAATCAAAACAAGAATCTTTCTGAGTAACCAATACTTCATACAGATTGCTTGCTGATCAATAATTTCTTTCAAATAATTACTGTTTACATTGTTATTCAGTGAAATATCTCCAACTATTGAATTGTTAAACTTTCATCTTACCCTAGGCACACCATAGAGATGAAGCCATTCACGACAGCGTCTAATATTCCGCCGGTAGGATTTCATCACTTCACTCAGCATATTCGTCTGATCATTTCTAGGTGAACATACCTGAAACAAATGAGACAAATGAAATAGATGGTTGATTTAGTGTGTTTAAAATGCCGGAAAAGACACTTTATTAAAACAACTTGCTTGAAGTATATTGAACGGATCTACTAGCATAGAAAAACTGGTGGAGTGAAAACAATTGGAGAAACAATGGAAGAATGTGTTTTCAAAGAAAGAAGTTTAATATGCTTGGAAATTCACCCACTTGAAAGCTTAGTCACATCTACCTGTCAATATTAAGGAACTTCCGGAGTTTTTTCCCCATCCTCACTCTCTTCTGATTGATGCCTTCTCTTATAAGTACTTTGTGAGTAGGATTTATCTTTACCATTCATCTGTGCGTATAATCCTTTGTTATTCAGCTTTTTCTCTCTATTCATTGATATTTTTTATTTGCTCATCGGCTAATGCCTTGTATCTACAAATTTTTGATGTTCTCCTTAACCTCTGTTACAGTTTATGGATTTGGTGACTTTTCACTTTCAATTTACCATAGTTCATGAATAATACAAGGCAAAATGTTATGGTCGATTCTTTTTAAAGTGTGACTTTAAAAGTTCAACGTTAATAGATGACTCCCTGTTATCTATAGCTGTACATTCCATTATTTCTACTTAACTGGGAGTTTCTCATCCACATACAGTAGTGATAACCCTTAATGCTTTAGTATTTTCATATGAATTCCTATGACACATACGTGTTTGAACAGATTGCTTGAAGTGTGTGTTACGCAAACACATTGCACAATTTAGATAAATTATGTCCTCTTATTTTTTGTTGTTGTTGTTGTTGTAGAAACCCATGAAGAGAGAACCAATTGTTCACAATAATAACAGTAACAATAACAATAGTAATAGATTTATTCTGAGCAGTACATTTTCACTATCAAAAGCAATCAGCGGTGGTATTAAACTGTTCGTGACACAGAATAATTAAACTTCTTTTAAAAGTTATAAAATGTTATATTTACAGAGTCTTCTGAACACCTTGAGCTACAATCTACGAATGTTTGGCATGCGATTCGCTTCCACCAAATGTAAGATGATGCTAGAGGACTGGACTACAAAGACTCCTAGATTAGAAATAAGGAGTGAAGTGGTAGAGCACGTTGACAACATCAGTCAACGTCAACGGGTTGATCGCTGACGAAATCTCAGCACAGATACAGAAGGCTCGTTTCGCATAGGCCAGTTTACGCTGTCTCTGGCTCAGCAGAGGTGATATCTGGCTGGCTATCGATCAAAGGGCGTATGTACTGCTCAGGAGTCTGCTCCACTCTTCTTTATGGCAAAGAGACATGGCCATTGAGTGAGGAAGACATGAAAAGACTAGCTGTCTTCGATCATAGGTGCCTGCATTCTCTCTCTCGTGTGAAGTGGGATAATAGGGTGAGCAATATTACGATTAGGCGTCGAGAGATAGGTAAATAGGGGGAAATCAATCCACAGGGTTGTGAAGTTAAATCGATTGAGATGGTTAGGACATGTGTTACGTATGCCTAGTCATCGCCTTCCTCGACTGACGGGCAAAGTTAGCTGACATAGGGTCAAGTTGGAAAAGAGCCAGTGGTGGTCAAACCAAAACATGACTTCACCAGTCAATGAAATCCACAACAGTTAGTTTAAGCCAGCCAGCCACTTAGGAAGGTGTAGACTTCCTGACTGGTTGAGACCCTCGGGACGGTGAAAACCAATGGCTGGAGACAATTGATGATATGGCTCAAAGTCGTTCTCAATGGCTGGTGCAGATGCATACACTCCTTGTGACTTATAATACCCAATGAGACTATATTGTTCTTCATTATTACTATTCTTTGCCTCATATCTCTGTTTACTGTCTCTATTTTGCGTTTCTTTTCACTTTTTTCTTCTTCTCTGGCTTTTGTGTGCTGAGTGAAGTGTGGCGACTCGAACTGCTATATATCGGTGCAAAGTTCTCTGTTGAAACCAGTCAGTCAGTCAAAATGTTACTTACAATGCTGCAAAAATGCTTCATTTGAGCGAATACGCAGCGGGAAAAAGACCGAAACAATGTGTAAATTATGGAAAACATTTTCCCGAAACTTTATACGCACAGACTTCCTTAGACCATTTGGATGACAAATTCTGATGACATTAATTTCAAATGTTGCAGTGCGAAAGGAGAACATTAATTTGTTAACCGTAATTTATAATTTTTAAATTCCCTGTCTCCATAAAAGTTTGAAAGTTGCGCATGCAATCCTCATTTCTCTTTTTCCATCATCACCTTTTGACTGTCGATAACATTCTCCAGAGTAATACCAGACCCCTCTTTCAGCTTTTGTGACATAAGCATGCTTTTTTCTCTATTCAAGTTGAAAATTTAAAACAACTTTCATTTAATTTTCTTGGATTCCTGTAGTAATTTGATGGACGGCAACTGGCTGTGGAATCCGGGGTGCGCATTTGGTCCTATTTGAGAATCGTCAGTTTGGCGTCTGAATTTATCCGTGAGTGATGGTGTTCCTACTAAAACTCGAACCCAGTACCCATCGTTTCGAACGATAAAGTGTTATCCACTAGACTACCTGGGCCACGACAGTTCCTGTGCAACAGGTGTCCATAATTACCTATTTTTAATTCAGTTTTCCACATAAAACTATACAATGAAATGATGTTCAAAGGAGATCCATCCAGAAATGCCACTAATAGCAATAGTTTTTGAGGTTAACCTGAGCAAAAACATTTTCTAGCGAATGTTTCATATTACTGACTAGTAGTATATACGGTTTAAATGAAGTTTAATATTGAAGTGGAATTATTGTCGCTTTATAAACATCAGTTTCTTCATAATTATTAAAAAACATTTACGACGATTCTATGCAATCTCTGCTATGAAATATGAACTGGTAAACTCTCCTAGCTTTGCCTTTCTTCCTCCTTCCATTCTCTAACGTGTATAACTGTTTTGAAAGAACAACAATGATTAAATGAGTTTCATGAGAAGACTAGTAATCAGTGCATCAGTTTGTTGTAGGCAGTCCTATTTATAGCTACTGTATTTAACAATTCCCTATTATAACGCTGAGTTTCCATCCTGCATCTTTCCTTGACACTGAGTTCCACTTTTAAAAAGCAATATTTCCATGCAAGCGACTGATTATAACGATCCGTTTAATTTAAAATTAGTTCAGTGTGATAAACAATTAAGGAGTTGGCAGTTTCCTGTAAAAATACAAACTTTTCAGTATATGTTTACCTCATATTACACCCAGAATACTTAGAAAACTGAGGTTTCGGTAAGACAAACTTTACTACTAATTTATCCTCTAAAATTCTCTAATTTATATTTCATTCCTTCTTATTCTTACATAATAATTTGAAATTCTACCCATTGCACAAGAGGCGTCTCTGATGGATGGTCTAGCGAATAAATCTATGGCGTTTGATACGATGGCATGTATGTTCAACTTTCAGTAAGAAAACCATCAGTGATTGAGGAGTAAGCGCATCCAGTTGACAACTCTAAAACACGATGAATTTCACCTCATGGATTCAGCTGATAGCTACCACCAAACAGGAAAACTTTGAGCTGTTGATGCTGCTAATATTGAGGTGTACTTTCAAAAAGTCTGTACTCCAATTTGGTAAAGTATACCAATGGGTAACCAAGTATGTGATTGATTTCATGTAAGATCACAAATTGACTTCATTTAATGAACCGCTGGAAACCAGAGAGCACTGGACAGCTATTTCGTCCTAATTTAGGACTGGTATGTGAATCACAGCTTGAACTAAAACCTGTTAATTACTCTAACGCTCACCAGTGGTTGCCTAGCGAATGAGGCTTTGAGTAGCTTCGGTGACCGATAGATCTATCAGGTTGTGTGTGAGGACAAATACGCGCTGATGATATTGGCTATATACCGCATATTGACAGGATTTAGAATTCATCGATAGTTGGATTTCGTCCCAGTGGCTGAGTGTTCAACTTACTGGCCTTGGAAAGATTTCCGACAGTATCATGGATGTGAACTGCTGAGGGGTCCCCTAACTAGAACGAAAAAGCTGCCTGGCACTCACTGGTTTTCAGTGGTTCGATAACTGTACTAACTTCGTGATATAACAAGTTATCCGTTAAATACTCGCAAATTGACACTTGAAGATTTCTTTTTCATCCTATTTTAATAATAAAAAAATGATGAACTACTTCAACCGTGAGTACATCATTTTAGTTTGAGAAAGAAGTGAAACGAAAATAGTTCAAGAGACTTAACAATATGAAAAATAAGTTGACTCTTCTTTATTTTCGATGTAACCAGTCCTTTTCAACAACATTTTCAAGTAATTTGTTTAATCCGAAGCAAATTATGATGTGTATGTATGTGAACTCCAAAATTGTATTTGCTTGTATAAGTAGACATGCTAACAATAACTCATACTATTCTAATCAACAACAAAATCTTAAGATTACGCTTATTTGATAGCCATATTGACATGAAATAATGAACGAGTCTCACACAACATTGATTAACATCACAAAATATCAAGGGGACTTAGTTAATTAACTACGCTAACATTATGTTGTATATACACTTTCATCCAGTGAGGTTTACGTAGTGTGGGGATAACTTTTGAAAAATCTATAATTAGATCCGAGAGCCAACGTGTATAGGGAATATTAGAGAAGAGTGGCCTAAACAGACAACACTCTGCAGAATACACTGGGTGATTGATTATAATTAGCCTTCAAAGGGTAATATTGAGAGCTACTCTTCAGTGAGACAAGAGATACACATGGCTCTTGAGAATTAAGAAAATCCTTATTGATCACTTTAAACCGTTGGATTTGATATATATGTATATATATTGCTTAAAAGTGGTATTTCAAGAAAGTTTTCCTAGATGTCATCCACAACACTTCATTACTAAATTTAAGCACATCTTCAACATCCATAATAGTAACAGTCAGTGACACCTAGTTGCCTCTGAAATAATGAAAAATAAAAATCGTGAAAATGAAACTAAGTCACTGAATATTTCCACTGAAACTGATTTCTTACTTTTCTATTTGAATTGTACATGATAAATATTTATTTCCAACTAGGCTAGACACGAAAACACCTTACATTGACTCTTAGAACTTTTTCATCTTTGACGTAGGTGTGATATTCGCCTAATCACTATAGATTACTTTTTCAAAGAATGGGAGCTTTAACTAGTGAACGTTTGCACCAAGTTCTGAATTGATAGTTTCAGACAGTCACCATCTGCTTCACATCATTGACACTGTATAACCATAGCTACAGTGAGATTAAAGATTATGTTTTACTTCGCAAAGGATCATCTTGGAGGCACTAACATAACAGATAAAATGAAATCTCTTATGACTTTATTTAGTTGAATTTCGCTATTGATAAAGGGAATTCATTTTAGGCACTTTGACTGTATGCTGCTTTTTAAACGGAAGATAGATACTAATACTACAGGAGATTTACGAAAATGTATCCGTCAAAATGCAAAATTTTATTCTAACATTCTATTGTAATAAAAAAATCTTTTGAAATTACGAAATTATTTGTCTTCAGTTTATGAAATGTTTCATGATTGAACTATACAAAAAACATTTCAACAGATATCATAATGAATACCATATAAGAAATAAACCGGATACTTAGTTCTCTAGTTTCTCATCACTGTTTTCAAATGTTCACTCCCACAAGTGTCAAAGGAAACGCACTTATGATGCCTTCCAGCTTGACAGGGAAATGTTTGCGAACCTAGTATAAGAAAAAATTTAACTTGAATACTTTAAGTATGATCTTGGGCTATTGATTGACATTCGTCTATTTCTCAGTTATTTCAATAAATCATTTAAATTAGAACATGGAAAGATGCTTAGTTTATACAAAAAGAATAAACAAACATATATCTCGATTTCTTCTTAAAAAACGAAAGTAGCAAGTCTGTATTCCCAGTGTATATAATCTAATTTTCACAAAAACCAGAATAAAGCAGATTTACACGTAGACTATTATGTACCAAAAACTAGTCTAGAAAAGCACTGATTGATTATATAGTGTGGCATGAGTTGGTAGTGGATTTTGAATAAGAATTGGTAATTCGCTGCCTTGGAATCTGTGCAAATGTAATCGATACATATAGACTAACTCTCAGGCATGTAAAAAGATGTGTGCGTCTCACTATTATTTAAATAATTTCTTAATCAAGAATTTGATTTCTATTGCGGAGAAATAAAACTGAAAGTGCGAGAGTATTTAAATTCTTAAGTTTAGCATGTTAGTGATGGAATCAATAGAATATACATACATGTATTTCAAACAGCCAGGATAATACGAGCTCGTTTTATTTTCTGGATTTTCTTCAACTGTGTACATCCTAAACAAAATCACTTATAAGTAGCAAACTTTCTGAAGACACATTTTTACCGCGACTTCGGATCATAGATTGACAGCATAAGCAACGTAACTCCGAAAATGATGTAAGTAGACTAATTACTCCGTACTAGAAGAGTAACTATTTATATTATAATTAGACCGGGGAGGGGAAGAGACCAGATTTCGTCTGAAAACAGGGAATAATTGGAAGGCAGAGAACTGTTCTAAAGTTTAATTGCCAGATACCTAATTGACACGAGATATACAATGGGAATCAGTCAGGCTTTCAAAATAATCAGTGTACAAAGGAAACCATGTTTACTAAGGTTCCCAGAAGTGATTGCAACCAAAGACTTCGACCCAACCCTATGAATACAGATAGAAAGTGTGACTAATCTCTCACCATCCTGGTAACCGGAATTGTTTTGTTCGTGTGCTTTTGTGTTCTGTTCTGTTGCGTAACATTCCACTCAATCTTCATTTTGATTTCCACTCACTGACTCGAACTCACTTTTAAGATATCAAATCTACTAAGTTAAATTTTTTTAATCTCCTTTATAATTTTACTTCACTATTCACCCCCACCCTCCTGAACTCTCCACCATAATTTGTAGAAATTCACCAATTTGTTCGATCTTGTATTGTGTCTCTAGTCCGTCCCTGTTTCCAAGAGAAATCTGAAGTCTACCCCTTCCCCGGTCTTATTACTATATAAATAGTCACTCTTTTAACACTAAATAATTGTCTACTTACGTCATCTTTGAAATTTTGTTGCTTATGGTTTCTACCTATCTATAACTTAAAACCATCGTAAAAAGTATGTTCAGAAGTTATGTAACTTATAATTGATTAAAATAAGATGTACGTTGTTGAAAAGAATCTACGGAATAAAACCAGCTTGTATTATCCTGCAAATATGTTCATTCTTTCTTTAACCAATAAAGAGAATTGGCTGTTTGAAAAATATATATATATATACATATATACGGTAACTATGCGATAGATGGTGGTACCGATTATCCTCTTGCGGCTTTAGCTTTGAATTTCCAATAGCAGTGGTTTTTAGTCTAACAGGGTGAGTTGCTAGTCTCACGTCCAACCTTTCAGCTTTATCGGGCTTATCACAAGCTAATAGATGTTTTGGATAGCACCGGCGGGAGATAGAACCCCGGACGACATGCGTGGTAGGTGAGTATTCTACTATTGCGCCAGAGACTCCCTTCACGAGCCCTACAGCTAGCTAATGGCTACCAAAAAATTCTGAAAGCACTAGGGAAACATCCATTTTATCAGGTGATATGTCAGTACATTTCCCTTAGGTAAAGTCAATAAACAACTGGAAATTTACAAATTCCTTTAATTTGTGTGTTTTTCAACTGAACTAATGATTTCAATTTCATATTAATTTTAGCTCGCTTCATTTCATTTCTATGATTAGTTTTATAAGAACATTATCCTTATAGAAGTATACCTCTGACATAAAACAGAAGTACACACGAACTAATGCTCATGAACTTCGCTATTCAAACAAATATTAAATCGATAAATGCATTCTTTGTTTTGCGTGAATCAATGAGCTGAATCATCTTTCACAACAATAAAAAAACAACACTTGAGCTTATCAAAAAAAATTAAAGATACAACAAGAAAATACTTTATTTAACACTTCATCAAAAGTGTGTATATACTGTTTGACATTAATACTAAAACAAACATTAGTGACAGTATGAACAGTGTGATGTGAATATGCGTACTGCTTATTTTATGAGCCAGCTGATTTAGTTAAATAATTTAACAGTATTAGTGGACCAATTTATTTAATCACAAATTTTAAGTATACATATTTGCAATTTGTAGGCTGTCTAAAAAACACCTCGTTTTGTACACCTCCCCTGAGCTAAACGATACTCGAATGTTTGCTGATAGAGAGTTAACTTGATCACTTTGCTTTCAATTATCTTCGGCTTTTTGTCACTCGAAGATTTCACCGTAATGAAGACTGTCTAGTGGAATGTAGAGAAAAAGCTCATTGGCAAATTTATCCATTCTAATATTTATCTTGATACATGACTACCCTATCAGAACCTAAGTTTGTCGCTCCTACTGCAGTATTAGATCTGAGTGGTTTAAATATCTCATTCTGAATAAGTACTTTATTGATTTAGGCTAAAACCTACTTAATGGTGTGATAGTGAGAAGGTATAATGTTCTTTATTCTGAAAATTACAATATGGAACATACCTGCTGCGTTGTATTTACATTCTGTAATGCTTTTGATGTAGGCTTTATGGTTAAGATGTACAGTTTAAGGATCGTAGGAGCTATTTATATCGATGGAATTATTATTTTTAAAAGTTAGATTTGACAGCCATTTACGCCAACCAGTCGAATTTTTATGAGTAAATTACTAGGGGAACAATTAGCCAAGATCTCATTTAGAAGTCAGGGTCAGTAGGGTTCATAAAGTCATCGTATTTGATATCAGTTTGTGGTGGTGCATAATGACATAAGCTATTGAATTCGGAATAGCAAAGTGCTCATCTCGTTTTCTACAGGTCCTTGATAAGGTTGGCGGGGGAGGAATAGATAACCAGTGGGTATTACTGGACAAGTCTCAGACAAGGAAAAGAAAGACGTTCAGTGGTACTTGAAGTGACAGCAGTTCATGACGAAATTTACTTTGACATGACTGCTATTATTATTATTACTGTTATATTGCAAAATCAACCTTTACAATTCGGTATAATAACTCACTTTAATTTTTGATGCTGCTCCAATAAATTTATTTACGAAGTGGATTAGAATAACACCAGTACTTAATTCAATGGCTAAGTGTTTTGGATTAACAGGCAACCGAATATTCAATTCTTTATCAATTATCTAAATAAAACGATTACATAAATAAAATAAAATTAGAACAAATGAATACAACTTTTGAATATTCGATTAGAAACAAAAAGATAAAATAACGTATTTAGTGTTATAGACTTGCTGCTTTCGCACAATTGGTTAACAGCTATTTTCATTATTTCACTTTGTAGAGATTTGAATAATTTCAGCGTTGGTTTTATCTCCAGCAGAAAATCAAGGAGCACTTGACAGAAAATAGAAAACGTTCTTTGCTCTTACCGTGAAGGGAATGAATTCGCTTAATGTAGGTGTAGAGCTTGGGCACTGTGGAATAATGCAATTCACGACTGAATTGCTAGCTACCCACCAGAATTGATTCAGAAGTGTACGAAGATGCATAAGAAAAATATAGGTAATAGTGACAATGATGAAAATAACATAAATAATACGGAATTCGAATCCTCGAAGAAAGAAATATCTGAGGCCCTCAGTAGGATCCTTAATGAGGTTGGAATTAGTGTACCTCTTAAACCAACCAACTCTCTAAGAAATAAAACTCGCCGGCCGTAGGGCCCGGTAGATCCTAGGTTTTCCAATGGTTCTCTATCCGATGTCAGCTCATGATGAAACCCTCCAACTAATCAAACACAATCCCTATTAAACCAATACTTGAAAATGAATCTTATGCTCACTAGCGATTGGCCCTCTTCAGGAAGTTAACCTGAGGTTCTAGGGAGAAGCCGTGACCAGTAGGGTAAAGCAGGTTGAAGGTGAGGCAGTAACTCATTCAAGAAGACATTGCGAAGTGGTCGCGCTATATCATGAATCGCCAGTAGTTAAAATTCATGGGCTGACCATTGGATCGGGTCCCAGTGGCTTAATGATCTACGAGCTAGCTCGCCTTGTAACCAGAAGGCTTTGGGATCGAACCCCGGTGGTTTCGTACTGATAAAGGGTCTGAAACTAGGACGAAGAGGCTGTCCAGTTCCCTTAGGTCTTCCAATGGTTTTCTAACTGATGCCAGCTCATAATGTTATCCTCTAACCAATCAAACACAATCCCTACAAAACCAATACTTGAAAAATATCATAATTTACCAAATACCACGTAACGACTTTGAAGTCAATTACATAGATTAAACTAGTAGATCGGAGTCAGCTAGATTACTGAAGCATAAAAATTTAGCTATACCTTAATGATTGACCCTGCTGACTCAAGTAACCTAGAAAAAAGCGCAGCTTTTGCGTTGTATTCACTTGCATGTAACCACAAGTTATTGTGGGACAGTGTAAAAGCATCACAGAGTAGTATAGTTAGGTGGAAAGACAGAGGCTAATCAATCGAACAATCGATTCTAAACCGCAAAAGGTGCAAATGAAATGGCGCAACAGCTTTAGAGGAGATACAGAAAATTACCACAAATAACAAGAGGAAGAGAGAGATATAGAGAAAAATATATTCATACATATGAGGTAAATTATGAAGGCGTGTGACAAAATTGATATAATTGTGAGCAATAACTTTTGCCTGAAACGCCACCCAGTTATTAATACTGCATCGCTACGAGTTAAATTAAACGAACTTATCGAATTTAGAATGAATTCTATTTTTAGTGAGATCATTCAGACGGACTGCTGAAGAGTGTCCAGGTAGGATAAACAGCTGTTCAGTTCTACCCAGTTTTTTTCCTAGACAATGCTGATTAGCGGTGAAATTCACACTGGAAAGTTCTTCGTTATTAAGCAGTTAGTGATTAACCCACATAAATAATAATTATTTGAATTTCAAGGTAATCAGTCCACATGAAAACATTATGCATTCTGAAACTTCTTAATATTCTGACCTATAAAAATATAAACTACTTGAACAGATGTTGGCTTCAGTATTCATAGAATATCTAGGCAAATAAAGCTTGTTAAGAAAAAATATAGCTACAAAAATGAGTTTTACGACAGATAGATAGAAATGGAATGTCTGATCTGAAATGTTACTGACATCATTTTTTCACTCTGCAAATACAATAGTATGAGAGGAAATCCTGCTGCTTTAGGTTATATTTCCTTTTACCTCTGTTGGGTGGATTTTTCTTCTCGTTCATTTTACTGAATTAATTTATCTACTTATTCATATGAATGTCATTAAAGGACATTATGATAAAACCATCAGTTTCTTTTTTGTGTTGCTGTTGCCTCATATTGATGTTAATCTCTATTTTGCTCAGTTTCTGCCGAACGGATGTGACTGCAATCCACTGGGTAGTCATTTCCACTACTAAGGCGTGACAATCGCTCTAAATAACGTATCTACTGACAAACGAGGCAATAATCGGTATTTCAATTTTAGTAGGTTTTGACCATTATTTACGTAGGTTTAAACAACTAATTGAAATTTTTTTCAATCCAATGATGATAAATTATTATTATATTATTGTATCCTTTAATTCCTTGAGGAACATAGAGCTTCAGCCGTGCGTCTCCATTACGTTCGGTTCTCTGCTAGAGTCTTCACCTGGCTCCATGTCTGCCCCACACGTTTTCATCTCCTCTTCACATGACCTCCTCCAAGTCACCCTCACCCTTGGACGACCAACTCGCCGCTTCCCTTTCGGGTTCCATTCGAGCGATGGCTTGTCTAGTGATGTCACTTGATGGTTTCCTCAGAGTATGGCCAATCCATCTCCATTTCTTCCTCCCTATTTGTTTCACAATCGGTTCCTGTTTGGTTCACTCCCAGAGGTCCCTATTGCTGATCTTTTCTGGCCGGCCATCTGATCTTGAGTATTGAGCGAAGACAACTGTTAATGAAGGTCTGTAGTTTGTTTGAGATGCTCTTTATGACGCGCTGGCCAAGTCTCTGATCCCTATAGTGAGTAGCAATGACTTCACATTGGAGTTGAAAATCCGGATCTCATTTTTGATGCTGAGTGTTGTTGACCTCCACACAGACTTGAGAGTAATCAAAGATTGTCTTGCTTTCTCGATCCTCGCTTTGATATCCTAGTCATTTCTGCCTGTAGTTGAAACGATGCTTCCCAGGTAGGTAAAAGAGGTTATTTCTTTCAGGTTCCTCCCATTTATGCTGATCGTTGTCTGTTGTTGTTGTTCTTGTCCAGGAATCTTCATCACTTCTGTTTTCTTTGAAGTCCTATCTTTGATGCTTCTTCTGCCAACTTGTTACTTTTCACTTGCATATCTTCCAGTTTGTGGGAAATCAGACATATATCATCGGCGAAGTCCAGATCCTCCAAGGTTTTTCTGTGAGTCCATTTTATGCCTGTTTCCTCATTGCCCGCTGTTTGTCGCATTATCCAATCTACTGCAATCAGGAAAATCATTGGCGATAGTAGGCAACCCTGTCTTACTCCTGTCTTCACTTCGAAGGATTCCGTGAGCTTCCCGTTGTGGATTACTTGGAATGCAGCATTGTACAACTGTTGGATGAGAGGTATGATTGTCAGCGGCACCCCGTAGTAGCGAAGTAGTTTCCAAATCACCTCTCGATCGACGCTGTCGAAGGCCTTTTCAAAGTCGATGAAGTTGAGATAGAGAGGTGACTGCCATTCCAGGCTTTGTTCAGTGATGATTCGTAATGTGGCGATCTGATCAATGCATGACTTGTTTCTCCTGAATGCAGCTTGTTCCAGGGCATGTTTGATCCTTTCCAGGATGATGCGGCTTAGTATTTTGCTTGGGATGGACAGGAGCATAATTCTGCGCCAGTTCTTGCATTCACTTAGGTCTCTTTTCTTTGGTAGTTTGAATAAGTATCCTTTCCTCCAATCCTCGGGTACTTTGCCTTCTTTCCACACCTTCTCCAGTAGTGGCGTCATCAAGTCCGCTGTTGTCTCTGGGTCCATTTTCAATGCTTCTGCTGGGATTCCATCTGGTCCTTCTGCTTTTCCAGCTTTTAGCATCTTGATTGCCTTCAGGACTTCTGATTTCGTCGGGAGGTTGGTGTTCACTGGTAGCTCTGTCTCCGTTGTTGGTATTGTTGGGCGCGTTGTAGGTGGTGGTCGATTTTGGAGTCTTTTGAAGTGTTCAGCCCAGTGTTTCCTTTGCTCCACTTCTTTGGTGAGTGACTTTCCACTGTCATCTTTCACCTGCTTGATTTGTGTCAAACTTTTGCCCGATAGGTACCTAGTAGTTTGGCAGAGTGTTGCGAGGTCTCCTTTGCCTGCAGCTTGTTCTGCTTCACTTGCCATGGTTTCATAATATTTTCTTTTTTCTTCTCTGGCACTCTTCTTTACTCTTTTGTTAAGTGTCTTGTAGTTTGCATTCAAATCCTGTTTTTGTTGCTCGTCGGTGCACTGGGGAATCTTTTGTTTCACCATCCTTCTCTCTTCTATTAGTCTCCAAGTGTCCAAAGTGAGCCACTGTTTGTCTTGTCTCTTCTTCCTGCATAGAACTTCCATTCAGGTTTGACTCCACACTGTTTTCAAGTTGTTCCAGTGCTTTTCGACGCTGACCTCTTCGCCAGTGTTGATTTGTGTCTCGGCTTTGTCTTTTATGCTTGCAGTGAAGATGTCCTTTGTGTCCTGGTCCTTCAGTTTTTGAGTGTTGAACTTGGCTTGTGGCCTTGGTGATAAATTCGTTAACAGTAATTAGTCAGTATTAATATGTCAAGACGGTGATGACTAACCAAGAAAATTAATACAACAAGTGGATTGCATAATGCACAGTTTTGACGTAAAAGCGAGTAATTAAGGAATAAGCTAGTGTTCAAGTCCACTTCGTAATAGGTAATTAAAGAAAAATAAAATATTCAAGTATTGGTTTTGTAGGGATTTTTGTTTGACTGGTTGGAGGATTTCATCATGAGCGCTGTGTCATGAGTTGGTAGAAGTTAGAATTCATCGGTTGACCATTGGATCGGGTCCCAGTGGCTTAATCGTCTGCGGGCTAGCTCACAATGCAACCCCGATGGGTGAGTATTGATGGAGAGTCACAAACTAGGACGAAACAGCTGTTAAGTACTCCTAAATTTTCCAGTCGTTCGTTAACTGATCTTAGCTCATAATGAAGTCCTCCAACCAATCAAAAATGAAATAATTTCGATAGTGATAACTTGTAAATTGTCGGGTTTTTATATTCCTCTAACGATAGTGAAAGTGAAGAAAGTGGCCGCATGTATTGCTTGTGAACACACATGTTTAGCTTCTTCAAGTGGATTAAAATGGTTTCCGCGGTATGTAGGAGACAAACTCGTAAAGCAAAATTAATATTATTCGGAATGAGATAGATAACTTTAAATGATGTATAAACATCAACTTTATGCTGACTGTCTACAAGGTGTGTCAAAACACATCATTGGAAAGTGCATTTAATTAAGATGGTATAAGCAACTCAATCTAATAGATTGAATCAAAGAATATAATGACACAAAATTGATCACGATAACTGAATACATAGACTGTATGTACTTTCAATAAATAGGCTATTCGAGGTCTGTTTTGAGATATAGTCAAACTTAGATGATTGTGCTGAATCGAACAAAGTCTACATCATAAATAAAATTTTTATCTAATCACTCATTACCACAAAAAATGTTTTTAACATAACTTACACGTCTAAGCTGATGAATTTTATTCAACTCTTCAGGGTATAATTCCTCCCACTTGATAATATGATCAAATTTATTCAATTCCAGACGTCCTGGACTGTTCATCCGCTTGTTTTCAGTTTTTGTATCATTATTTTTGCTAACAAAAACTGCAGCAGATGATATATTTGAATTTAAATGACATTTGTTGATTTTTTGAAGACCATTACTTGAGTAATTAGGAGGAGGGGATTTGATAATAGGCTCAGTAGGAATATACATAGCAACACCAACACGAGCTATATCATAGCAGTTATTCTTATCTGCGGCAGTTTTATGTGAATGGCAGGAGTCTTTATAATAATACATTTGATTAGTATTTGAGGGAACATTAGGACATCGGCTGGGACTTCGATGTGGTATGCTATATTTTCCTGAGTACTGTGAACTATGTGATATACGAGAGGCATCTGAATTAAGGAATTCGTCTGGCACCATCTAAGATGAATCAAATAAGGCAACGTGGGAGATAATTGAGACACTAGCTGAAACAATTTGATAATTGTTTACATGACTTTGACTTTTCTCTAAAAAATTCATTAATTTCGAATTCCGTTTTCACGACAGCAAATGTTTCTAACAATAGTTTATGACAACTGTGGCATGCGTCTGACACTATTATTTCTCGTTTTTCTGATTTAACTTTTTTATTACTTCTCTATACAGTTGCGAAAGTGAACCTTTTATTTTCTTGAATTACAATGTATTCACCAAATATCCATTCAAAAATAAATTAATTTCTTTTCAGTTGATAGACCTAAACGGTTTCAACTGATTTCAAAAAATCAGTTATAGTACCACTGGATACCAGGAAGCAGTAGGCAGCTGTTTCATTCCAGTTTGGGACCCTATAGAAGTATGAATACCGGTAATAGGACCCAGGTGTTTCCCATCAGGTGTCTATTCCTGATTTGTTCATATTTGTCTACACCTGAAGATCCACAAAATAGTAAAGGACAGATAAATTCACTATTCCCTGGGTTCCAATGGTCCTTCAACGGATTTTTGTTAGTGACAAAATCTACCTTGAAGACAACAATATGATTGTTAACCTCATTTCCAATTCTATTTATTAGAGTTTAAATTTATTCACATATGCTGATCAAACTGAAACTCAACGCATTGTCATAGAATAAAGTATGGAATGGCAGTTGAACCTCTGCCTCAGTTTCATTGACTTCGGAAGTGGCTTTGACAGCGTTGACCGTAATTTGGAAACTGCTTCAACATTATGACAACGCCACGTGTCAGGTGATCCAGAAAACGGAAAACTCAGTGAGACGTTCGAAGTGAATACAGGAGTAACACAAGGCTGCCTGTTATCACCAATGATGATATTCCTTATTGTGCTGGAGTGAATTATTCGTCAGAAGACAGGAATACGCTGCACTGACCGATAAGAAGACTCAAGAAGATTTATGGAAGATTTATGCCTAATGTCACACAAATTCAAAGACTTCCAGGTGAAAACCAACAAACAGTGAAGGTCGGACTCCAGGTAAACATAGAGAAGACGGAGGTGACGAAGATAACCAACCAACCAAAAACAACAGTGGCAACAACCAGCACCAATCACCATCAAAGGGAGAGAATTGACAAAGGTTACATCCTTTGCTTATCTAGAAAGCACGGTTTCAACCACAGGTGGAGTGGATGAAGATGTCAAAGCCAGTCAGAATGGGAAAGGTAAGATATACCTTCATCAACCTGAAACCTGTTTCGAAATATCCTGCACCGCACCCAGCAGCATAAAGAACAAGATTCGGTTCTTCTATATGGGTCACAAACTTGCAGTACGTGTCACGAAAAGGATCGCCAAGAAGTTACGGGCTTTTATCAACAGGTGCCCCCTTTGCTGGCTGGCTCTATACTGAAGATCAAGTGACCAGCTGGCCAAAAATAGTTAGCAACAAGAAACTCTTGCTGGCAGAAAGCTACCAAGAGCCGATTGCTCAACAAATATGTTGGAGAAAATGGAGATCGGCATACATTGAGGAAACGATCGAATGACATCGCTCGCAAAGCAGGCCACGGCTAGAGTGGAATCCCAATGGGAATCGACGACCGGGTCGTCGGTGCGAGGCTAACATGGAGGAGATCATTTAAGGTGGAGGAGATGAGAGAGTATTGGCAACCGTGGACCCAGCTGAGGAGGACGGCAGAAAATAGGACAAAGTGTAGATGTTTTCTTAAAGCCCTATGTTGCACTTTGAACCCAAGGGAATAATAATATTATCATAACACATGTAAGTAGTAAACACACATTTATTCGACATTTTAGTCGAAAACTTGCACTGTTAATTATGATCACTATGAATAGAGATACTCTGAGATGTTTGATGTGAGCCTTTTATTCTTAAATTTAACCATACTGGCGTGTAAGCAAATACTCTAGTGGACAGTACTCACAATGGACTTGGGTATTATCATTCAAAATTTCCTTCCACATAGTGAACATCTCTGATTTTTTGTGACTGCAAATTACACTTTTGTCTGTTCACGGATAATAAAATGTTCAAGTTACATTAAGCTTATGGACTTGAGTCTTGTAATATAATTTCAATTCAGTAGTCAAATATACGAAGAGATAATGCGAAGACTTATGAGATCACCCGTATAAACGCTGGATGCTTAACCTCTGGTGATACTAGTAATTACATCGAAATTTGGATACGTCTTGTAGACCATATGCTCATCATAATTTGGGAAATTTATTTGGAAACAATCTTGAAACCCAGTTGCAATACCATTACGGGTAAATCTTATTTTGATAGAGTCTCACAGTGTTATACAGTAATATTTACTGATGACGTTTCGAGCACAATTTATTGCTCATTATCATATCAAGGTAATCACACGACTTCCTAAATTCATTTATATAGTTCCATTGTTTTTCACTTGATTTGATTGGTAGTATTATTTTCCATATTTCGGGTATGAGTGATGATTCATTCCTATTGCATGTGTTGGGTGTAGATTCGATGAACAGGGATTCAGTAATCAACCTCTCTCTCCACCTACCTAGATTACTTTTTAGAATTTTAACCCTCTCGCACCCTATTGTGTGGTTGTGTGTTAATGCATGCATTGCAATTGCCGAGCTTTTTTCTAAATTACTTATCTTCTCTGGGTCAACCATTCTTACCTTAGCTAAATTCTTATGTTCTGACAATCTGACTACCCCTGACCTACTAGTTTGACCTTTGTAGTTGACCTCACAGTCATTGCAACGTATTTTGTAAATTATATTATTTTGTCTAATTGGGTCCACTGGGTCCTTTAACCTACAGAGCTTGTCCGACCTGAGTGAGTTTGTAGATTTAAATGCCACCCTAATTCCTGCTTTATTTAGAATCCTACGTAGGGTCTCAGATGTCCCCTCTTTATATGGTATAACTGTAGATGACTTATATTCTCTCTTATTTATGTTGTTATTACTAGTTTCACAATTCATTTTCTTTTTCTTTTGGCCTTTCTCAATCTTCCTAGTGACAATAACAAACCGAGCAATGGCACTAAGTAGCACAAAAATAGACCTAAATGATGAGATAAAACAGATAGAAGAGGCGTTGGTGTTAAATAACTATCCTTTAAAATTCATTAGGAAGATTGAGAAAGGCCAAAAGAAAAAGAAAATGAATTGTGAAACTAGTAATAATAACATAAATAAGAGAGAATATAAGTCATCTACAGTTATACCATATAAAGAGGGGACATCTGAGACCCTACGTAGGATTCTAAATAAAGCAGGAATTAGGGTGGCATTTAAATCTACAAACTCACTCAGGTCGGACAAGCTCTGTAGGTTAAAGGACCCAGTGGACCCAATTAGACAAAATAATATAATTTACAAAATACGTTGCAATGACTGTGAGGTCAACTACAAAGGTCAAACTAGTAGGTCAGGGGTAGTCAGATTGTCAGAACATAAGAATTTAGCTAAGGTAAGAATGGTTGACCCAGAGAAGATAAGTAATTTAGAAAAAAGCTCGGCAATTGCAATGCATGCATTAACACACAACCACACAATAGGGTGCGAGAGGGTTAAAATTCTAAAAAGTAATCTAGGTAGGTGGAGAGAGAGGTTGATTACTGAATCCCTGTTCATCGAATCTACACCCAACACATGCAATAGGAATGAATCATCACTCATACCCGAAATATGGAAAATAATACTACCAATCAAATCAAGTGAAAAACAATGGAACTATATAAATGAATTTAGGAAGTCGTGTGATTACCTTGATATGATAATGAGCAATAAATTGTGCTCGAAACGTCATCAGTAAATATTACTGTATAACACTGTGAGACTCTATCAAAATAAAATTTTCCCATAATGGAATTACACTCTACCACAGTGCCCAAGTTATATTCTTATACCAGTTGCAATACATATAGCGACATCAAATTCGCAGGGGAAAAAAGATAACAAAACTATTTTCTTAGGTGTCATGATGAAGAGAACCACCACACGACAATTAGCCAGGCAAACATACCTGCTGAAACAAATGTCACTCACTGAGCAGTTAACTCACTTCATTCGATACTATGCAAAAGAAAAGAGCCAAGAGCAAAGGGAGGCGAAACCCACGTAATCCATCAGATAAATGAAAAATCATGTTAGTCGATCGAATATGACGTCCACTTCCTCTTCACATCTACGCAAATTAACTAGCATTTAGACAAAATTACGTACATTCCTTTATGTCATTTTGGATACACACCTATAGACACCTATTCAACTGGACAAATGTCAGACTTTTAAACAGTGAAAGTACCAAGAATACTAAAGAACTAGTCTTCCAATGAATTGCCATTTAAAAGAAATGTTGAAATGCATCGAAGCGACAAATGAACAAAGAGTAGCTTAAATAGTCAGAAATTTGAATATCAGCTCAATGAAAAACATATCTAATTCAAACATATAATCTCTGTTAATATGGCCTCTAGTGCAGACGCTTCCACTGCACCTTGAGATTAATGTGGTTATACTTAGTTGATGGTGGTTGCGCATTTCATCCTATTTGACATTTCTCACCTGGATATACCTGCAGCCCCACTAAGTGATAATGTTCCCTCTGTGAATAAAATCTAGGGTGCTGGCTTCCACTCTGGTAAACACCACCACCCACCGCTTAACATCGCAAAGAAATTATTTTCCCATGAATAAGTAGGTGGTTTTTTCAAAGCATGATTTATAATACACTGACATGAGATAAAAGTTCAAGGAATTTCTGACTAACTATTATACTTCGCTAAGTGTAAATAAACACAATTGCATAATTTAACAGGAATCATACACTTAGATAAACTTTTTCTGATAACTATTTCATTTATAAAACCAATACCAACAAATGTGAGTAACATTGGACAGGTATTATGAATATTTTTAAACGAAGTAACAACTCATGGTGCCTTATTTTTAATACTTTGCATATACGATCAAATGCTTTCAAAAATCCATTTCTACTTAAAATGACATTCAGTCTGCACAAAACAAAGGACTAGACGCAGTATGCCAGTTACTAACTACCTAGTTTACAATCAAAGTATCTGATGCAGACCTACAGCAGATCTATCGTTTGCCTGAATAGCTCAGCAGCGACATCTCTGACTTCAGCACTGGGTGACACAAGTTCGAATCTCAGAGGGGAGGCGAATTCCTTAAAGCTTGCAGATACGCCTTGCTGACTCGTGAATGTCGATAAGCACGAAACCTAGGTCCAAGGCGTTCTGACGATTGCCTCCAACCATCCAATGGCAACAGTTCAGTGTGCACGCTGATGGCGGCTACCTAGCATGCTGGCCACATTGCAAAGTTGAGTAATAAAATTCAACCCGCAACAAACAAAGGACTAGACGAAGAACACTAGATAATTACTGCCTGGTGTCCAATCAAGACAGGAATGTTTCATTAATTCTGATAAGATTTTTGTGTACAATTCAGAAAGCCGCATGGAGAAGTTATAGTCATTATCATAAGCCATATACCTTGATGTAACGATAGGATAAACGGATTAATAATTGCTCGTTGAATAACAACAACTATACCTATCCAGCCATTCTCATGCATGCTGTTCGATACCTACTGATCATTTGTAGTCAACAAGCTAAGTAACGCAACGTCATTGTGCATCAACACGCATTGTTAGTTCATATAAAAGGAATCCATCCTAAGTGTTACTCAGATAAACAAATAACACTATCTCATAGTGTAATACATTTAACAATGGAGGTAGAAAAAAATAAAACCCTACCATAGTGCAAACATTCTACTCTTATATTACCTTACTACCATATAGCAGTAACTATTGGTTTTAATAATGTCAACATTATGGACACTTGGACCTTGAACATATGAAAATTATGTGAATGATTCATTTATAACTATTGAGAAATGCTCAATACATAAAACACTTATTGAATAATTTTAATTTATAACTTTAATAGGAGAGATGCATTTAAATTATACAGCTAAGGTCAAATAAATAGATATTTTGCAATTATGTACTTATTACTTAGAATTCAGCTATCCGGAACACATATTTCATGTGATAGGCCATGAGCTGAATTTATTTGGAGAAAGTTGATAACATTACGCAACTGCCTAAGCCGAACTACTTGCAGCAAACCCTGAAACTATTAACTGAAAGTTGAGTACTAGGGCGAATTCAATTAAACTTGTATGAAATGCACTAGCCTTCAAAAATAATGAGTAGTTTTGTGGATTGGTTAAGAACCTGAGACAGTCTTTATTATACAAATATGAAAAAATATTACAACAAAGAATAACTTATTATTATTGTTATTGCTTTGAGTTCTTGCTGAAACTCAAGGTTTTAACAGCACACTACAATTTCGCCCTGTTCTGGAAAGTTTTCTTGAGTCGTCTAAACAATATTCCATAAGTTTTCAGACGGTCGAGTCGCCCTTTTCCATTCAGGTCCCACTGAAGGGTCTGGTGAACAATGTTACCCAACGATCTCCTAAGTATCTATCTGGTCCATCCCAACTTCTTTTTACATGTTTTTTGAGCAATAAGTTCTAGGCTGGTCAGTTGAAAATTTGCATTTTGTTCCCAATGCTGAGTACAGTATATTTACTCACTAATTTCAGAGTAATGAAAGTTTGTCTGTCTCCCTTCGATATTCTCAATCGTGTAGCCTTTAGTTGTATAGATGCTGTCTAGGTCGGATACATGGAAGATATGACTTATTTTAGATTTCCCTCGTTGACGACGATTGGTGCTTGTTATTGGTTGCTAGATATCTTTTCTATGTCTAACGGAAGTGCAGTCTTGGCAGCCTCTTCTGGCAACTTATAGTACTTAGTACTTTTCGCCTATTACACTAAATGGTTATTGGTGTTGACTGAAGTCAGTTGGACAAGCATAAAATTAATCCACGAGGCTGAATGAAATTCCACTATATATGATTATTTTAGATGTTAGGATTCAAACGGTAGTACAGCATGTATCTTGTTTATTTACACTTGTTCTTAAGGTGTGGAAACCTGTTATCCCACTCAAGACTCCAATTTTTTAAGGACATAAAACAATTCAGACTGCAGTAGACCTGTACAGGAATTTGTTTAACAATGAGAAACTGATATATTTATCCTGCATATTTATAAAGCTGGTATTATGATTAGTCAGCTTTTATACTTATCATCCAGCTTCATTCTTTTAATTTAAATGAGTGGATTTCAAGTTTGCTCTTCAGATTAGTGTCTTTGAATGAATCATAAATACGGTTGTTACAGCCCGCTAAAGAAATGCTGCAGTCTGGACACATGTGTAAAAACAACTTTTAACCATGTTCTAAAACAAAAACATATACAGGTCAACATATCAAATAAATAGACAAGTAAACAGCATTATTTATTAAGACAGCAGCATAATGGAAGATAAAGGATGAAAGCAATCGGATATATGCTAATTTTAAACTAAGCAGATATATATTGTTCACTAACCTGTTGACGTTTAGACGAACGGAAACGAGAAGAACTAGTAAGACGTCCTGCTTTAACACGTCTATCGTATTTACCACTCATGTGCTTTGTTGTAGAATCTTTAGTATGATCACTAATTATTTCTTCTGCACTCGAAGATGAACTTTCATTCTCGTTAACGTAACTATTCACTCTTTCTACAATAGAAGATTTTGATGATACTGCATCGTTTTCATTGGAAATTATTGACAATATAGGCGTTGCTGTGTTTACATTACAAGCAGAAGGTGGATTTTCAACTGTAAACAAAGACAGAGAGAAGTCAATTGGTCTAGCTAATAGATGAAAAATCAACCGGAAAAAGTATATACAAAGAGAATTAACCATTAACTGTGCTATAAAACTGTTCATGAATACACGCACCTCATCTAGGAATATCTCAGTGAACATTTAAGATAGTGTTGCATGTATGCATGCAATATAATCGTTGAATAACTAAAACGTTAGCATCTTGTGTTGGATGTCTGAAGATGAATGGAAAGGCACAAAAGCCTACGTCAAGGTGGGAATCAGACATGCATGGAATTTATAATATGCCAAAAAAACTGGCATTTGAGACTAAAATAATACGAATCCCGAAAGCACATCGTCTAAAAAAGACGCGAATTGACTTTAATCATTAACTCTGCAAAGAAAAATGTAGAAAATATAATAAAACTTATATGATCAAAGTAAGGTGCGCCGGTGACCTAGCGTGTTAGAATGCCTGCCAACCACGCACGTGGTTCAGGGTTCAGTACCCGGCCGACGCACTCCTTTACCTCGTTAAGTCGGTAATAAAACCGGTAAAGACGGGAGATTGGGCATGAGGCTAGCAACCCCATCCCATGAAAATAAACACCACTGACACGAAAACTTCAAAGCTTCTAGCTTGAAGTCCTATGTTCAGCTGGGAACGTAAAGATATTCAATAAAATAATAATAAAAAATCAATAAAGTAAACTTAGGATAAAAGGCTATATCAGCTGCAGGAACGTTTAGTATTGAGATTCTAAATAATGTTGATAAAATAATAAAACTTATCAATACGTTGATAACTCACTAATAAGTTCCTTGATAGTTTTTTCTACTTGCTGCGGAGTATGTAATTTTAAACTCTCATTGGTACTTTTTTTCTTTTCAAAGACCATATTCTAAAAATGAGAGTAAAATAAATCACTATGAGAACATACAAGTTGAAGAGATGGCCTTAGGCAACTAAACTATCATTTCAAAGTATACATTCAGTAGCAAATATTTCCTTTGACAATGTTATACTGAGAATTCGCAGATGTCTTAGTGAGCTTTTGGGAAGGAAACAAAACATTTTAGGGACTATTTCTTTATGAATTCTTCATGGTACACTAAATAGGATGAGACATCTACCCATTACTAAATAATGGTCAACTACCTGTATATAAATAAATCTTTGTAAAAATGTGAAGCACCTTGCTTGTTTAACGATGAATTTAAACTGCTAAGAGTAATCGCTTTATGTTACATGAGAACATCATTTCCAATATCAACTACTCCGACTCAGAAATAACCTAACTTCTGTTTACCGGTAGTTTTAGTATTATTTCTGTTTCACTTCTATTTTATACATTACAAAACACAGCATCAATTCATGAAATCTTTGAATGTCAGTTAGAGCCTAGTAGGAAGGTGTAGACTGTTGGCTTGCTCGGGGATCTCAGTCTCAGTAGTGTAGATGTATTCACCCTTTTTAATCTCACATATCCAGTAAAACTACATGTTCTTCTATGTTACTGTCCTTTCTCCCACATTTTTCTTTTTTACTCTGTTTTATCTATCTTTGCGTGTTAGATGGAAGGTGGCAACTTGAACTGTTGGACTTCTGTGCAAGATTCTATTTTGGAACTCAGTGAGTGAGTCAGGCATATATTACAAGTATATTGTAGAAAGCGTGTAGTGTATTGAACGATAAACATTTATTTATCCCCCGAGGTATCATTATTAATGCGAGTGAATTAGAGGGGAAATGGAAATGAATCATCATCCCATGTGATAGGAAATATATACTGAATCATAAAGTAAAATCATATGACAATAAACAGTTAATACAAGAAAATTTGTATATTCTTTTCTTCAATCAATTTAATTGCTAAATCTTTATTAATACAGTTGAACAAAAAGATTCAATTGAAGTAATCTCAGTGTGAACAAATGAAATAAGAAAGCACCGCTATGATAGCCGAGCTTATGCAATACTTCACAATCAAGGAGTATAGCAGTGCATCACTCCACCACTGTGTGAGTTTCAGTGAATGAATCTGCCTTCAATAATTTCATTGTTTCTACATCTACAGGGCGCAGACTGCCAAACGGTGGTGGATCCCACACAAAATCAAATTCACAATTTACAAATCGATTAGCAGTTTGTAATCTAGACAGTTCCAGTGGTGAAATTCCAGCACAATTTCCTTTGGAAACCAGGTTATTCAGATCACAATATGTAATCAGCTTGGTGCCATATATGGTAATAAAGAAAGCAATCGAGTTGGTACAAATCTGAATACCACTGACTGATTGAGATGAGTAGTCGCGAACTGCTCATATCAACCAGTGGTCCTTGCTAGACAGGCCGAAGTGATTTAAACACTGGACGTCCATTTTGCTCGTTCGGGGTCAAGCGCATCAACAGTGTACCTGGTTTGACTCAGCTAACAGAGCGAAGTCAGTTAAAACCACCCACCCACCATCATAATGTTTGATACTAGAAATCAGTAATCATTGAGTAATACAAATGTAAATGAAAACGAAAACAAAACAGCAAGGATTTCAGAAGATGAGTATTTAATTTCCTTTCAGAAAGGGAAAATATCACCATTCAGCTTGAGAATAAAATCAGAAGTGGCTCTTTAGGTTTTATGAACAATCACGTTCAAAGGTGGTAGAGGAAATCGTATAAAAAACGTGCTCCTGGAAATAAAATACGCATGAAATGACTCTTTACACATCCTGGAAGACTCAGCGTATCAGTTAGAACTTAAAACTGTTATGTTCACTAGTGTGGTAATTATCACACTATTGTGACTGTTTCCTTTAAAGCGTCTACGTTGATATTTGAGTACAGTTAACTTATCTCGTCCCAAAACATGATCAGATGAGTTGATAAGTGCAGCTAACCGTGACCAGTAATGAAAGCTTATCCTCTAGTACTAAAGAACTATTATAAGTAGCATTTTGGGTGGTTGCATAAATTTATTTTTCACAGTTCAGACCATAGTCTGGAAATACACGCTTCACAAAATCTGTTACTGTTAACTCCCTAATTCAAAGTCAGTTAACTATTACGAATTAAACAGATATTTAGTAGTTAATTTGCTCAATAGTTTTGTTTCGCATCATTAACAACTGTGACGTTAAAATCACAGTTGGAGATTAACTAACTTTATCAAAAAGTTATGTAGTTTTCAGACACAAAGACAACACCTTATTGATGAACACCAACTAACAAACCGGAAATTTCAGTGTTGCGACTGACTGACCTCTTATGCCTAATATCACATCCAATCAACAGATTACTTTGCACTGTTTTTTTTCTTTCAACTAGTTTTCGGCTATATATTATTATTATTTCTAAAAAAATAGGTGTAATGTTATAACTTATCCGTTTATTAGGGTTATAGAAGTTTCGGAAAATTAATGCAAGTGTATAAAATCAGTTCAATTGGTTGCAGGACTTCAGTGTGAAAACAATGAATCCCAGATTCATCCCTTTCGTGGAGTGGTGGGAAGTATCACTAAATATAAGACATGAAGTGTGACTCATATGCAAATGCGTATAAATAACGTGCACTAGGTAACTGATTCGCATTCATATGCTGGATGTATATATATATATATATACATATATATATGTATATATATATATATATATAGGGTGATACGCTACTTCTAACAGATACCTTTTGAAAACCCCGCCCATCTATTTTCTTACTAATTATTATGCTGTTGAACTTTTGACCAAAAAACACCTCACCTTTTAAGTTGATTTATACTTTTAATTATAATGTAAGACAAAAATGTAAAACGAAAACAGCAACAACAACAATAACAAATGAAATAAACTGTTGATTATAGTTAGTTTTCACGTATTTTTCTCTTTCTTTTTCAAGTTAATAAAATGAAAGGAAAATAATGAACTCTTAGGCGAAATGATGTATGTCCAGCAATGAAATGAGAGGTAGGAGAATAAGCACATGCACACTGTTATTGATTTATGTCTTGACAGACAACTGAATCTGTTGTTTGCGTTTTCTTCAACTGATACAGTAATCGTATTTGTAGTGTATGCAGTTACAGATGAAAGGGGGAAAGTGGAAATTCCCTTTTAATTATGGATGTAAATGAGTAATACAAAGAAAAATAGGAATTAACCATTGAATGCTGATATTAGATGATGAGTAGTCATAAAAAGTGGATAGAAATATGCGTCATTTTTTCTCACCTGTGATCATATAGAAAAATATTATCGCTTCCGTTAATCCAGCTGACATTCAGCTGCTTATCAGTCACATGTTTAGGAATCTTCTTCCATATGTCTCATGCATGTTTAAATATGGAAAGGAGCTATACTTTCATTGGAATAAAATGAGTTTATTTAGATACTAAAATGGTTCCTCACTTAAGTACATATGAATTCGATCCTCTGACTGTTGAACATGTAATTTATTTAAAAGTAAACAGAATCTCAGGTCAATTTCTATTGAGGATGAGCATTATTTCAAGTAGTGTTACAAACCAGGTAGGTACCACATAGTCTTTTCCGTCCCAGTTAAAGACTTCGCACCAGTAGACAGTGATATATTTACTAGGAATTCGTCAAAATACTACATTATTTATCGATAGATTACTAGATACGATAGTTCAACTACAGTAGACGTTTTCCGTTCTTAATTCTGTGCTGAACATCTCGACTGAATATCTAAGGAACTAACTGTATTGGGCTGAGTAAAAATTAAATTGGCTAAAAATACAGCACTAACTGTTTAGTGTATTACCACTTTACCTCATTATAATCATTGGATTTAATGGTTAGAAAGTCGTTCCTACTGCACTACAGCTATAGATATGTATTTTCGTTACATAAATAATAATGATAGTACTATAATCTCATTTGAAGCCTTTTCGTTTCTCATGAAAATTGTAATGTTTTTTGAAAAATGTTCTCTTCACATTGAATGTTTAAAAAAAATACTTTAATTAATACCGAAAAGGGTATGACGTGACTAGCCTTATGCCAAAATTAATATTCACTGTCGAAAATCATAAGATGTAGGCGGCTATCAGTTAGCTGTGCAAGCGTCAGCACACGTAGACGAAATTGCAAGTAAGCTGCTTTTGAATCCGCTCAAAATTTAGAGGATGTACTGGAAAGACACTTTATAGAGCTCAGAAATGTTGTTAACGCCACACACACAAACACACACATTCAAAGTGTTTGTTTTATATCCCGCTTCTTATAGAAAATGACAATAAATGATGTCTTTCAGCGGTGCATCAAACAAATGTCACTGGCATTTCATAAGAATATTAAATGTATCTAACTCATTCGTTTGAGCACCCAGCATTCAGTCGACCCGAATTCGAACCCTTCTCTGCCCACTTAAGCCTCAGTAACTTAGTAGTTCCATATGATACATGTGGTTCATAGCCTGATAACTAAAGGAAAAAACTGTTCCGCGGTAACTGACTACTGACACAACTTCACTTCTTTCAGTCTTCATTTAAGCTGAAAGAAAACATTTTACAGTTAAAAGGATAATGCAATCCACGCGCAAAGAGGAATCCTGAAAGAGAATTGCCTTCTTATATGCCCTCTTTACAAGAAAACCAGATGGTAGTGTAAAGAGAAATTTGCATAGGACACAACAATATACGCATTTTCATAGCTTCGTTCCTCTCCAGTACAAAAGAAATTTAGTAAGGACCCTTACCAACAGATTAAGAGGTATATGCTCAGAAGAGGTAACTGAAGATGAACTAAGGATTGTATAAGATACCTTGATTGAAAGCAGCTATCCGGAAAAATTCATCAGGAAACATATGAATAAAAAAGTTGATTAGAATTATTCACTCTCCGTAAACAAGAAGCCTTTATACTTCGCGCTGCAATTCAAGGGCGATA